TGGACAGAAAGAGGAGGGTTGACAAGTCATCACATCGGAATTATCCTTTTCTTGATTCATTGATTGATTGATTGATTGATTGACAGATTGATTAATGGAGTGATTGATTGATTGACTAATTGATTGAGTGACTGAGTGATTGATTGAAGCACGAGGAGGAGAAGAAGAAGAAGAAGAAGAAGCACGAAGAGAAGGAGAAGAAGACGAGGAGAAGAAGAAGGACGAGGAGAGAAGACGACGACGAAGAAGCACGAGGACAGCAGAAGAGAAGAAGAAAAAGACGGGCGAGTGCGAGCCTGGCCCACCAGAAGAAGAAGAAAAAGACGGGCGAGGATAGAAGAAGAAGAAGAAGAAGAAGAAGAAGGAACGAGAAAGGAAAGTTCTTTCCAAATATACCTCGAGATTTTGGCTGAGGGCGAACTTGGCCTTAGCGGCGAAGTATCGGAGCCACATCACAGGCGAGCCCATCGCGGTTGCAGACGCGAAGCAGCAATTGCTGAAGAAGTCAGTCAGAGATTTCGCCTTATTAACGCATCAGATCACCCCACACACAAATTCTCTAATTACCTTTTCGCCCGTCAATTTACGCAAGGGTCTTAACCCTTTCCCCCCCCCCCCCTCCCCCCTCTCCCTCCCCCTCTTTAAACCCCTGATGACCCAAGCGGCCAGATTGAACCGTCCCTTCTCTCCGGGGCTGGTCCTGCCCTCCTTCGTGATTGAGTTGAACGGGGAAAGAGAGTGGGGTAAGGGAGAAGGGGGGGAGGAGGGGAGGAGGGGAAGAGGCTGCAGTGGGAGCCAGCGAAGACGGAGATTAATAGGAAGAAGACGAAGACGAAGGTGATGACAAAGAAGATGAAGGAGATGCGCCAGAGCGCTCGCTAGCCGAAAGGGGAGTTATCGCGTCCTCAGACCGCGATGAATCATTGAATCTTCATTGAATCTTCATTGAATCTTCATTGAATCTTCATTGAATCTTCCCCTTCTTCGTCGTCCTCTTGCTGTTCTTCTTCCGAAAAGACCGTGCCGGCGATGTTGCTATCCCGACCCGGGAGCTTCAAGTCCCGACTGTCAAGAATCGCCAATCGCCGATCTCGAGCAACGTTTTCCACTAGAATCTATCCCGACCCGGCAGCTGCAAGTCCCGACTATCGAGAATCGCCGATCCTCAAGCTACGTCTTCCAGTAGAATCTATCCCGACACGGGAGCTTCAAGTCCCGACTATCAAGTACCATCGACTATCAAGTCCCGACTAACCCAGTACCGCCGGCTATGATAAAGTTCCAACTATCCAGTACCACCGACTATCAAGTACCACCGACTATCAAGTCCCGACTATCAAGTACCACCGGCTATCAAGTACCACCGACTATCAAGTCCCGAGTATCAAGTACCACCGGCTATCAAGTACCACCGACTATCAAGTCCCGACTATCAAGTACCACCGACTGATAAGTACCACCGGCTATCAAGTACCACCGACTGATAAGTACCACCGGCTATCAGGTCCCACCGACTATACAGTCCCGACTATCGAGTACCGCCGACTATCAAGTACCACGCGGAGAAGACAGACACTCAGTCGCGTATATCTCTCGCTCAAAACCGACTCTCTCTCCCAATCTCCCTCTCCAAGACTTCCTGAGGAGGAAGGACAGTGAGATGAACGACCGGTGAAACAAATGAGAGAAAAGTCAGAGGGAGGGAGGGAGGCAAGAAGAAGGAGATAGATGAGCCGGCTACTCAGAGATAGACAAGTCCCCAACGAGCCAGAGGAGGAAGGAATCAGGCTCTCCCAGAAGAGAAAAGAGAGGCGGAGAAGACAGAGACAGCTGCGTATACCCTCTCAAGCGCGGTATCGGTAAGGCTCTCCCGACTCTATCTCCCCACTCTCTCTCCCAATCTCTCTCTCCCAATCGCTCTCCCGACTCTCTCTCCCAATCGCTCTCCCGACTCTCTCTCTCCCAATCGCTCTCCCGACTCTCTCTCCCAATCTCTCTCCCGACTCTCTCTCCCAATCTCTCTCCCAATCGCTCTCCCGACTCTCTCTCTCTCCCAATCTCTCT